GCTGTAATTCTTTTCTATATTACTTCTTTATTCTTTTTATTATTATAATTCGACACTGTACAGTAAGCACAGTAACTGTAACGTATCATAACATTATATTTATAACAATACCATGTAATGGGGTATACACATTTCACATATTTTAGCAACAAATTTTGTTTAAAATTTTTCTTCTATTCAAAAACATTCATATTTCATTTTCATTTCAAAAAGATTTGTAAAGTATTATTCACACAAATCAATTTTTATACAATTGGTCATTATGAGAAGTAAATTTGAATATTTAGAAGTGAAGAATAAGCTAGTAAAAGTGTTGAATGTTACAAAATTTAAATATGATAAAAGAGAAAAAATGAGATAAGAATGTAGTTGACTAGAAAATGATAGAATTTTAATTGTCATTTAATATTAAAAAATTCAACCAAATTAACATTTTATATCTAATTTAAGGTCATTAAAGTTATATAAAAAGGTCAAATAATATTTTGATGCAGTTTGGAATGGCTAAAAAACTATCACTTTTGTAGTATGAAATTGTATATCAGTTGAAAAGGCTAAAAAAATACTGACAAACAAAATGAATGAAAACAAAAACTTTGGTTAACTAAAATTACACGTATAGATAACGCAGAAAACGTGAGATTCATAATATTTGCAAAGAAACAAAAACAAAAAAACTTTTCAGATTAGTAATTTTGATAAGAATCTCAAATTTTAAATACAATTTTTGATAAAATTTATCGATATTCTCACATTTTCAAAAAAAAAAAGACACAAGTAAAGGTCATTTGGTCACTCGCAAATTAAAATAATAACGAAAAAATTCGTACAAACAACAACTGACTATCTTTATTGGTTCCAATTGAGATGAGATATTATCGCAGTATGAAGTTGGTCATTTATAAGATACCATTTTTGAAATTTGCATAAAAACGAAAATGTATTAAAATAACTTTTATTGCATAAATGAATTTTACTCAAAAAAGCTTTCAGTATTTTTAGTTCTCAAAATAACTCAAAGCAAAAATCTTCTAATAATTTGTAATGAAATTAATTATTTCAAATTATAAAACAGTTTTCACAATTAAAATTATTTTCTTCATAATAATAACAAATCTGACAATATAATTTTGCATATAGTATAGAAATTTTCGAAGAGATCTAACAGTTCAATATTATATTTTTTAATTTATTCTTCAGAGTAATAAGAAAGTGTAATAATTATGAATTCAACCTTTTTCCTACTCAATATTCTTCTTTCATCGTTTAAATAAGTCGAAAATCAAAGACGAGCATCTGATAAAAGTAGTACTGTACTTGTGAGATTCTACCGCACCAGTTCTAAAACCAAGTATACTGTAGCAGCAGTAGTAGTAGCAGTAAGGGAAGTACAATTGTAGTCTAGATCTCGTTGTCGCACGCGACAATTTTTCCTCGATTTTCTCCAGTTATCAGAATTAGTATACAAATAATCCGATTTTTGAGTAAAGAAAAATCTTTCTTGAAGATCAGTTACTCGAAACTTTGGAATCTGCTCAATCGTCTCGTCTGACACCACTACCACTGCGCCATAAATATTCTTTGTAAGCATTCATGCGTTGGAACTCGAGTTCCTGACGTCGACGCTCACGTTTACGTTCTTCACGTTCTAAACGATTTTTCCTTCGTCTCCTCCTACAATTCTATTACTTTACAAACTAAAAACTATACATTTATGTGTAAAAAAAAGTAGTAATGATTCTCACACTTTTCTGATCAGCATTATAATGATAACCATCACTGGCATTCAAAAGACATGACTAATATGCAGTATATTATTCAATTTTTGAATATAATTGTAGATCATTAACCTAGTTTCTGACACAGAAAACACCAGTCAATCGAGAGTATTCAATAAAATACCAATTACAAATTTTCACACATGAAAATCATAATTTTTTGGATTTTATTGACCATACACCACTACTATTTGTACTTTTAAATATTTTCACAACTAAAAATTTAAAAAATGTTCAAGTTATATTTTTTATATTTGAATATTGTGGAGCTTAAACGAACTAAAACTTTTGTTTCAATGACTATTTCCATAAATTCATTAATTTTCAATAAAAATAGATAAACAAGTGAAAAAATATCGG